CACACGTCCCATGCACAAAATGGACATTTATTCCTTGACAATGGGAAATAAAGCATCTGAAGATTTATTTACATTTTTTCCCGATGAAAGCGTGTACACAAACATTAATCTGCGTATTGTTGCCGCATCATAAAATATATGCAGAACAATTAGGTGCAGAAAAATACACACAAAACTGTTGGACCCCATTTGTCGCACAAGGATAAAAAGGTAACACATGTCGACGACGAGTGCAGCTCGAAAAATATACAAAACTGTGCCCGAAATCGGGGCAAAAGTAGCAGCGGACGTTTTCATCCGCTCCAGTCGACCGAAAACGTCCGAGATTGGGTTTGGGTCTCTCTTTGGGTCTAATTGAAAAACGAGAAAAAAAAATGTGTGACCCTGGTGTCCGATAGGGACACAAGGTTTGGCCATTCAGAGGAATATTTAAAAAAAAAGTGCAAGAAAAGAATGATAATTTATGGGTCGATTGACAACGCACTTATAGATGAAATATGATTTGATGTTCAAAGTACTTAAAGTGAAATATCAGAATAGAATTGTTTGCATTGTAATATAAAATAGTATTATTGTACAATCACTTACTTAATAATTAAAAGTAATTTAAATTACGTTTCAATCAACTGCAAGAATTTATGTAATTAGTAAATCACAAACTGTTTCGTTTCCTGATTTCCAAGAATTGTACATTTTTTAAATAGGTTTAAAGAACTCGCAAAGTTTCCTTATACAATACGCTTTGCAAGTTATAATTGAAACTAAAACACTAAATATTCTTGGATACTCGAATTTGATGATTCATCTTCCCTCGAAGAAGAAAGAAAGATTTTATTTAACGTTAGTATTAAAGTAAACCTTTGTTTTTTTTTGCCGACTTTAAAAATTGAAGCTTTGCTATAAATATTTCTTAAATCGGGAATTCAGAATGTCAGAACTTATATTTTTTAAAACATAAATGCAAATATCTTTCAATTTGTAAAACTTATTAAACTTGTACTATTTGAAAACCGAAATCAATTCAAAGATTTGTTATTTTATAAAATGAATAAAATTAAAACAAAGTACAGTTTCCGAAATTAATGTTACTATACTTTTATCCTTTTCTTATCATCTGAGATCACCGGTCGTATCTTCGTAACTTTTTGCATTTCCCTTAATTAAAATTTCAATTTGTAGATGCAAATGTAATTAAGCGTTTATTAAGTCAGCGCGTCTGTTTGCGTGTGCACGAATGTGTCTAAAGTTGCGCAGTTTTCGGCGTAAAATAAATGTTTGCCGTGCAAATTTGGTTTTTGAAAGGAAGGGGGGAGGCCGGCTGCGACACGTGGGGTGCCGGCTGCAGAGGTGCGCGGGGGTTGTGAGGCAGAGGAGGTGGAGGCGGCTGCGATGGTGACGGGGGTGGCGGCGACGAGGGAAAGCCGCGTTTCCTCCACCCACGCGCGTTCACCAAAAGGTCCTTATCGCTCGTTTCTGGCTGGCTGCGTCCGTTGCCGTTACGTAGATCGGGATGTCTTATCTTTCTGGGGGGGAATTCGGTGGCGTTCCAGAGCCGCCTCCGGCGCACCGAGGGTTGCGAAAATACAACACCGCCTACACCCGCACACACCATTCTTTCTCTTCCACCCCCGCATACTCCCTCTATCTCTGTCTCCCTCTCTCTCTATCTTCCACCCTCTTAACATACACTCAGTTTGCTCATTTAATCTATCTCCTTCTCTCTTTGCTCCTGAACACAAACAAGAGTCGCTTTAGGTGACTGAAGGATAATTTAGTTTGCTAAATATGTTTACAACCAAAGTTGTATGCGGAACCCGACGGCCGGATTATTTTACCTTATTTTGATCTATTCGATCCGTTTAAGTCTAACTAATCTGCAATGCTGGCTTTTAATCATATATAATTCATTCATAAATCAAACGCATCCTTCCTTCCTTTAAAGATTTAAAACTTTCCTAACTTCATATCTACATTTATTAACAATTATTCGACTCATTCATGATGAAATTCAATAAGCTCATTAATCAAACAGTATTTATACGAGTTCGAAAAAGTCTTCATTATTTCGCTACATCAAGTGTACTTGTATTAATTAACAATAATAGAATTAACTCAGGTAACTGATTAATTGTATGTTTTTATCTGCTTTTCTTATGGTAAACTTTAATTGTGTTTATTGAATTATAGTTTATTAATTATAGTATACCATTTTTCTAAAATGTAAGTTAATATAAATTCTATAAGTATAATGGTAAAATGTATAATAACTCATTTAAAGAAAATAAAACAAATAAAATTTATGAAATTTAATTAACTTTTTCAACTAATTTTAAAAACCAATGTGCTTTTCTTTATAAATATATAGTTGAGTCTGACTACACGATACTTGTCAAGTATATATTTTGTGAACTTAAATATCGATTATTTTAAGATGTTTCATAAGTTATTTAATAAATATTATGTTGTCGTGTCCCGGGGATGGAATTTGGACACAGTGGACCTTCTTATATTTCTTTATTTGTGGAGTCTGTAGAGGGTTTTAGTGAAAGGCTTAGACAAAAGTCAATGAACACAATTAATATATTTCAACACTGTAAATATAAGTTCTTAAACTAGCTTCCAGGTAATAACTCGTAGCTTGGGTTGCCCTTCTAAGACTTACTCTCAGACTGACTTGGTATAACATAAACATCCTATTTTATAGTAGGGAATTAACATAGTGGGAATACAATATTTGGTAAGGGAAGATAGTACCTAACTATCTCTAATAATTAAGTCATTAGACAGATGTACATATTAAAGGTCATTATTGATTGGACCTTTGAGTTTGTGCACATGTTGACTAACAATAGTGATTAAGAATAGTCGTTACACAATGATTAGTTATGGGATCTTCCTAAGTGGTATTTGTTCTAAGTCTTAATGACTTACATAAATAAACATGTATAAAATAATAAGGACTAACATAATATAAACAATAACGGTTATACATAACAATGTAGTTAGTAACATTCTTATGGATGAAGATAAAACTAGCAAATCCGTTTCTTGTAATTATAATTTCATTGGAGAACTCTGCAGATGCGTGGAAAGCATATGTTTCTGAAAACCAATAGTTCTTGTTATCGAACACGAGTCTAGGTGGGCTGCTTGACCGTGATTTCGAGTGAGGGTGAACGAAAGAATAAACGTACGTATGTACATACAAACGAACGAATGAATGAGAGTGCTGCAAACAATCACCGTGCTGAAAGTGAAACCCCCAATGAGAGTGTCGTTTAGTTGCGCTTTATTAGTCAACTTGTTCACACCCAAATGACCATCGACAATGCAACCATGAAATATAATATATTACATAGAAGTATAAATCCATTCATAAGCCATCATTGAGCTGGATCTCGCGCGCGCACGCCATATTTTATATATATAATATGGGGTGTAGTTGGCGCTCTTTATTACAAATTACACGTTGCATTTTTTTTTTGCATTATGTATTTTTCGGTGCGTTTCACCCTCCATCGACTGCTTTCTTTTTTTTTTGTTGGTTATTGTTGTCGGTACGACCGTTCCTCCTCCCTCTTCTTGTTTTCAATATTGCTCTTTCTCTCTCATTTTTTTATCGTTCCACCTCTCGTCCGGCCCAGAGGGTTGAAGAGAGCCGTCGGTTGGGACCGCCCCTAATTTCTCTCCACCGGAACACACATACGCACGGGGTGTTAACGTGCATTTACAATTTTTATTGTCGCTTCGAAATTTGGGGGGTTGCCAGGTACTTAGGCTCGATGTCGAATTCAATTAGAACGTCAAACTCTCGACTCTCTTACAGTTATTCGCATTCCGCTCTTTGTTTGAGCGCGAATAATGCATAGAAAAAGTCGTTTATTAACGTGTGTGTGTGTGTGTACGGTATCAATGGCATGCTTCGATCCTAGTACGTTGCACTGCGGACCTACCACTTCACCACTTCAATCACCAAACAATTGTTTTAAATTTCTCTTATTAGGTTATTGGCATGAATTATTCGTTAAATTTTCATCTTTATTTCACAATTTCGTAAGTTCTAAAAAAAATCTACACATTGACTAAATCCATTCACATTATAAATTTTGCAAATACAGTAGAGATTGTTTCGTCTATAAGATTTATAAAATGACTATGCATAATAATTAAACATTGGTAAATAATTATACAATTAATACATTTATTCGAAACATGTTAATTTAATGGATAATTTTTAACTTTACCGACGGTCTTGTAATTATGTTAAAACCGTTACTTATGTGTCATATACAGTCAATTTTTATTAAATTTTTATATATTTCTTATTTTATATCATTAAATATCATTGAACTATTAATAGAAACTTAATTTGGATTTGTCTAGTTGTAAATTATAGTATCTAAAACCATAATTGGAATTCGTTGAATGTACTCCACAATAATTGATCACGTACCATATGTAAAAAAAAGACAATCGAATTAGACGTGTTTATGATTCTGCTTGTGTGTGATTTGGAAATAATTAAGGAACGAAAGCCAAATACAATGGGTTTACGCGAATCGTTGTTGAAACTTAAATTAGGTAGAAATTTATGAAAAGAATATAATATGGTAATTATTGCATTCTAAAGTTCATCAACTACTTTATTGTAGAATTTTTGGTTAATTTTTATTTGGATTAAAGTAATTAAGAAAAAAATAATAATTTAAGTTCTTTGTTTTTTTCGCATAATATTGCAAAACAAAAGATGTGTTCGAAATATCCTTAATGTGTACTCCAAGGATATGTACTTGAACTTATTTTCAAATCAAATCTATGTAAAACAATCCACTAGTTATTTTATTTGCTTTTAATAATATAAAAGTTATATTACATTAATCATAAGGAGTGATTGTAAAATCTAGTCTTTAACTTTATATAACATAAATTACTAAAGTATACCTAAGTAAGCTAACAAATTGTAAATAAATATAGTAATAATATGTGTTTGTTTTGCTTAGTTATAGATCTGGATGGTTTGAATTCGGATGAGACCAATTCTGGTGATAACTCGAACGCAGGTTCGAGTGCCGGCCCCGACGATGACCAGGCTCGTCTGCGTCTGAAGAGGAAACTTCAACGCAACAGAACATCCTTCACGAACGACCAGATCGATAGCCTGGAGAAAGGTAAGCACCATCGAGATAGAGAGAGACTCTGCAGAAGAAAAAAGGAATTCACGCATTTTTCTTCTTTCCTGCAGAATTCGAGAGGACGCATTATCCGGATGTGTTCGCCCGCGAGCGCCTCGCTGCCAAGATTGGATTACCCGAAGCGAGAATACAAGTGTGGTTCTCGAACCGAAGGGCGAAGTGGAGGCGGGAGGAGAAGCTAAGGAACCAGCGCAGAGGTGCCCCGGCTCCAGCCGAACATCCCGGCCCTGCCGCATCTCCACCACGTCTTCAAGGCTTCAATAATACCTCGATGTATTCGCCGATCCCGCCGCCGATGTCCATCGCGGATTCATACAGGTATGTGTACATCATCGATACTCACTTTCTGTAGATACTTATGTTGTTGTCTTCTGTTCCTCAGTCCGGCCATGACTTCGATGGGTTCATTTAGTCATCATACCGGTTTGAACGGCGGGATGGGTCCCTCACCCGGCGCCTGCCTTCAGCAGAGGGACAGTCCGAGCATGGGTGGAGCGATGAGCGGCTACTGCATGGGACGACCCCCCAGTTACGACCTGGGCATTGGGTACGGTTCGAGACCATCGCCCTGCAGCCCTGCCCAACCCTACCAGATGAACGGTCACCAGTACAACACGAACGGGTCTTCCTCGACCGGTAGGTTTCGCCTCTTACTTAAACGCAACAGTTCTATCATTGATTCGCTTCTTCTTAACATTTAGGTTTGATATCTCCAGGTGTTTCCGTGCCGATCGCCGTTCCCGGTCAACCGGACATGTCAGCCCAATACTGGCCCAGGCTGCAGTGACCTTGGTGGTCGTAGAAACCACGTCAACATTTCCAAGTTATTAATGTGCATTAACTAAAATTAGCGACAAGGAAAAAAACTGTTCGAATACTCTGCCATACTTCCACAAGACGACGCTGCATGCAATCCGGAAGGCATCTAATGCCGTTATTTCGTTTGTAAATACGTTTTATTCATTATTCCGATTACCCTTACAAATTGTTTCTAAATTTCTTGTACTACTCACCAAAAAAAAAGACGTGCAAGTCCGTCCAACTGTACATTCGACTATGCCATTAACATGAACCACCTCTGTAAAAATACGCATGTGTTCAAATTAACAATTGTAGTTAATCAAATTAAACTAAATTTAGTAAGGATAATCAGAATATAGCATGCCCTAAAATATAACGCTAACTGTAAATTTAAAAAAAAATCCTTTTCCTTAAAAAAGTTCTCCTGTGGAAGTATAATTTAAATAATACAACGTTTAAGTAAAAAAAAAAGATAAAACAAAAAACCGTACTCGAACTTTTATATAACCATATAAAAATTGTAAAATAACATATTTAATTTTAGCAATATTTATTTTTTAAAAAAACGTCCCATATTTTTGTTCCACCCCCATTTTGATTAGTTCGTTCGTTTATATGTGACTGACATTACATAAACATAATTCCAAAGAATTGCAATTGTATTATAATGTGTATGTGTAAGGTGAGGACGATTATGGTTGTAAATATTAATATTGAGTTGGGTGACAAATTTTAAATGTAGATTTTTTGAACACATATCGGAGGGAGTGTAATTTTGAAAATAATCCAATTATTTACGTTACAATCTGCGTCCCTCCACTTTGTTGTCTCTCTGTAAGAGAGGAGAAGGAGGAGATTATCGATGGTTCTAGATTGGATTTTTATATTTTTTTGTAACGCAAATTGTTCGTGTGATCATTGCCCCCCTTTTGTCTTGAGGACGTAAAGTGTTATTATTAAACAGAAACCGAGATTTATGTATAAATGATAAAAAAAAATATATATATTTAACAAGAGAAAACGTAACAAATATCCATTTGCTTCATGCAATTTATGAGTTAGTCCAAATGTTTTATTTTCTATCTATTTATTTCGAGTGTAAATAAAAATTTTAATTGTATTTGACTTACATTTCATTCCATCATTTCCCCTCTGCAAAAAAATAAAATCCTAGTATACTCCACTGCTTAGTATTCAATAAATTAGACAATTTGAATTGCCTATTCAATGAAGACTTATCACTTTAAAAAAAATGTTGTATTTGTTCCGAATTGACAAAGAATATCCGTCAAACGTCTTAACTTCAAGTCCTTCAAGACATTTTCATAAAATCAGGTGTTTAAATAACGCATACTTTGATTACTTCATATAAATCTTATTTAGTTACTATGGATGCATTAGTTTTCCATAAACAAAATGATATGTTCCTAAATAAGAGTCCCATTTGAAGAATTCGATGATACATCCAAAAACTATCTTTCAATTTTCGTAATAAATCTTAAATTACTCCAAAAAGACTGAAATTAAGTACATTATTTTCTTTGCATGGGAAAAAAAATGTTCCGAATAGTAAATAGTACTTTAGTGCAACAACAAGTCTCAATTTAACTTCAGAAATTTCTTTGAATGAGTTATAAAAATGTATTCAATTTGTTCATATGATAATGCAAATAATCCTATATGGAAATAAGCAATTCCCACAATTATAAATTTCCGTTCGCAAAAATTACTGTAATTATGCCCGAAAAAGTGATTAATTAGTGAAGAATTAGGATTTGTACTTAGTAGGAGTAGAAAATTATGAAAAAAAAAGGATCAAGTCTTCTTTGATAAACTTATAAAAACTAAGAAGAGAATCCAACTTGCCACCATCTTTAAAATGATCACAAGAATCAATGATAATATTCTGTCAAAAGGAATAAATTAAGTAATAAAGTTTCGTTTTTTTTTGCAATTAATATTTTTAATATCCTTCAATCCCTAGCATTGATCCTAACTCGAATAACACTGTTAAATTAAAATGGGACAGTTATTTTTGTACAGTGTAGTTTCATTTTAAACATCAACATTTAATGACTATTTGTCCTAATAAAATCAACATTTTTTACATTCTACTATATACTTACTAAATAATAATGGAATAATTTTGGTCATGATACATTATAACATATTCTTAAAAAAAAACATTTATCTTATACATATAGTTATTATAAACTTAAACATGAAACCTAAAACATGAAACATTGCGTTATATCAACAAATAGTTTGTAATGTTAAAGTAATATTACACATTAAGCTTCAACATGTATAACTTACTTACTATTACAATACTTCTTCTAGACTTCTTCAAGTACCATTACATTGCACAATAATTAAAAAAAAAATGTTTTACTGGAAACCTTAATAATTCTTTAAAAATATGTGTGGAAAACTATAAAATGATATATTGACATATTACGTGTAACTTCTATTTCTGTAGCCTACGGTTCCCTAATCTACAAGATTGAGAAACACTGTTCTATATGTTTTAATGTGCTGCCCTCTACATTTCAAGGTACACATTGCTTGGAAAGAATTCAACCTTTTAAATGCGACAGCTAATGAATAGGCAATTTATAACACTGAACTTGTTATTAAGTGGCCTATACAGTTTAACTATAAATACTAAAAAAATATAACCTCAAAATACATTTTCAATGTTTATTTTTAATTAAGTTTTTTTCTTCAAGATGCATCTCCTCATAATATCGACCCTTCTGGGTTTTCTAATCGTCTATTCAAAATCCCTATCGAAACTGGTAATTATGCAAATCCATAAATTGTAATGATGAGATGACAATAGGTAAATTGCAGGTATTGAAATGGTTCAACAGAATGACGAAGGAAGAAAAGACGTTATTGGATAATAAAAATAAATTGAAAGAGGAACAATCAGAGTTGAGCACTGTGAGGGATTTCGTCAAGTTCTCGTTGCTTCAAAGGAAAATAAATGTATTGGATGAGAAGCTAGAAGAGGCCAGGACGAAGAGAACAAGCAGTTTCATGTTCAATGTGGGTGTGAATTATGGATTCAGGACAATCATCTCTGTATTCATGTTGTTCTTGAGTGTCTACTACCGGAAGGAGCCTGTGTTTATAGTTGATTCTAAATACGATCTGTTTCCATTCACTGGCCTGATCTCATTCCCCAATGACTATGTGAATGCTGTGTCTGTGCATTTTTGGATGATCTGTTGTTCAAGTGTTGCTAGATTAATCCAAAATAAATGATTTTTTTTCTATACTTTTTCTTTCTTTCTATTTATTGAGTCATAAACTGTTAATCTAATTTTGTATTTAAAAAAAAATGAATTATGTGATTATAACAATCTGTTCAACAATTACATTCTGACATTCAATATAAATTGAGTAATTATTTTTTAAAACAGATATTATTAATAAGGAAGCAATAATAAATGTTTATTAATAAAATTTACAAGCCTATTGATTTTAGTGTTTTTCTCTATACATATTTGTAAATAAGTGATGAAGTTTTTTATTAAATCTTATTAGATTTTTACGAATGTAAGGGTTAATGATTAATTCACTTAGTTTAAGTTTAAAATAGAAGAAAACTTAAGGAATAGATTTGAACTCTTTGTACTATTATGAATAGTTAATAGTTGCAGCGAATACTAAATCAATTTTGTTGTAACAATGATCGGGTTTCCAAATAGATTGCACAATTTGCGTTCGCTCAACAATGCGGAATAATTGAGCTTCCGATGTGGGTGGTACGATACGGTACTTTTTTTTACTTTGTTTCGTATAAACAATAAAATGTTGTTATTGGTAAGTATCTAAGCAACTAAATGAGCATGTAGACCATCTCCTCCACATACACAGCTTGCTTAACAACTTATCAATACTGCTTTAGTGTTCCGTCACACTTTGCATAGGAAAGAGTGCCACCACTTCTGTAGTAGTTAAATACACGCAACAGTCGAAACAACATCGACGAAACCCCAACTGATACGTTCAGCTGAGATAATCCCAAAACTAAGTAAGTCATCAAACAATTGTTTATTTTTAGACGTAATGGCAATTTAATTGTGAATTTATGGATTAGAAAAAACTGTTTTTTATTGATTAATAAAAAAAACACTACATAAATCAATCAGTTTATTAATATTTCAACAACTTTGTGTTTCTATAACTTTGTATTATAAAATAATTTGAAAAAATATTCTCAAATCTAAGTATTACTTTCAATTTTAGTATTTTATACTTCTTAATTGTGTAGTATCAAAACTTTTTTAATTCGATTACACATCCAAAAACTATCCTTTAATTTTCGTAATAATTCTTAAATTACTCCAACAAAAAGACTGAATTGAATACATTATTTTCTTTGAATGGGGAAAAAAAATGTTCCGAATAGTAAATAGTAATTTAGTGCAACAATGAGTCTCAATTTAACTTCACATATTTCTATGAATGGGAAACAAAAACGTATTCAATTTGTTCATATTATAAAGCAAATAATCCTATATGGAAATAAGCAATTCCCATAATTATAAATTTCCGTTCGCAAAAATTACTGTAATTATGCCCGAAAAAGTGATTAACAGCGGCCAGGTGTATTATATAAATGAAGATGATTCATTTCAAATTCCATCCAATGTTTTTTTATTCCATATCAGTATTGATCAATTGCGTCATAAAATTGTTATTAATAACTAAGTACCTCACGCAATTATCAATTACACTAGGTAATTGATATTTAATGTTACAGTTTCATGAAATATGGAAGATTTAACAGAGTTCTTCACAACATAAATTATATTAATTACGTTTTTATTTTCATAAATTCTATTGATTATATTACAAAATTTCAAAAAAAATTGAAAAATTTGAAAATAAGAGATAAAACTAAAACAATAATTACCTACAATCCGTTGTTTGAAAGATGAAAATATCTATTTTTATGGAAATAGAATGCGCTTTAATCAATATTGAAATTACAAACTAAATGGAAATGGAGTCTAAAAATGGTAATGAAAATAATTGTAAGCACGTTTGAAAAATTAAATTTATGCAACATTACATTTTGAATGTACTTTAATTGAAATATAAACAATGATATGTGTTTACTTCACGTTGATGCGTAATAGAATAATAGAAGTAATAGAATATAATCGAAAAACGGTGTTTACGTAAATATATACTCTTTTCCGAGAGATAGGGTAACATTGCACAGATAAAAGATAGCGTTTATTATTGCTACATAAGTAACGGATCTAGATCGTTATTGAGCCAGTTTACAGAACAACACGAAGAACATGTCATCATCATACCGCAAGGTAAAAAAAAATAGAGATATAAATTACATTTATAATTACTTTTCATGTAATATCTAATATTATATCATTTCTAATATTATAATTCATTGCTAATGTTTATATTAATAAACAATATCAACCAAATACGTTTCTTTTATTGTATTTTTCATATAATTCACAATAAAACCTTTAGTTGTATTAGAACCATTTTTTTGTCTTCACTGGTACAAACAATTATTATTTTATTAGACAAAAATATGTTTAATTATTATTATCTTAAATATAATTAAATGTTTCAAAATATTGAAAATAATTAGTAATTTCATATGGTTAGAAAAGTTGTTACTTTAAGTCTAAATGAACAATGCAATTCATATGTGGAAACGATGTGCATGTATTTATAGAAATAATTCCGTTTATCATTATTGAAGTAGCAACAATATGCAGATAAAACATTGATTTTACAAGTGTAGGAAATATTATATAAAAAAAATGAAAACAATATTTAATAATTTTTGTTTATGCGTAATTCATTTGTTGAATCATTGACTGACATTTAGTATTAATTATTTTGTTGATTATTGCTATACTAACTATAACAAATTGTACAATATGTAGATAAAACGTTGATATTATAATTGTTGCAAATAATAAATTAAAAGAGAAATACAATATTTTATCATTTTCTTACAAAAAAAATAGAAAATTTGTTTGACATTAACAAAATATTATTGCTTGATCTTAATGTCAATAGAAATTGTTTATGCGTAATTCATTTGTTGAATCATTGACTGACCTTTAGTAATAATAATTTTGTTAGTGATATTTATGATTATTGCTAGTCTAACTGTAGCAAATTGGACAATATGTAAATAAAACGTTGATATTATAAATGTTGGAAATAATAAATTAAAAGAGAAATACAAAATTTTATCATTTTCTTAAAAGAAAAATAGAAAATATTATTGCTTGATCTTAATGCCAATAGAAATTGTTTATGCGTAATTCATTTGTTGAATTATTGATTGTCATTTAGTAATAATGAAGTTATGTTAGAAATATAACAAATGTGTATGTGTGTGTATTTCATGGAAAAGAATTGCGTTGGATGACAACGGCACGTCGCATCGGTGTATTGATAAAGTTTTTTTAAGGTGCGTTTATGCGTGTTTCGTCGATATTAAACTCATTACTTCATTACATCTGGGAGTTCACACACCCTCGTGGTAATTTAAATAATTCAAGGCTCTCAGTGAATGCATTAGTCTTAGCGTGACCACGACAACGTTAATATTAACTATAACAGGTCAAATTGTACCGAACCAAAAAAAAAAAACCAAAAGTCCAAGTAAGTCAAAGCTATTACAGAAGAGAATCAAACGACAAACAATTTCAATTATGCACTGTTTCCATGAACGCCTGCACGTCAATAAACAATTACATCATTTTTGCAGATGCTCGATTTTATTATTTCACACCAAATGTTTGCTTTTATACATTTATTTTACTAGTTTATCATCTTTAGTTTCATAATAAACGCATATATTTAAAATGTAAAACGTATTATAATCGTTTTGTATTTAAATGAATTGTGTAGAAAATTTATCTGTTTTCGATTAGGTAGAAAGTGGCTTCGTTCAACAATCGACTATCGATTATTTTTACCCTTCTATTTTGTGTGTAGTGTTCGAAGTTTGTTACCATTATTAAATCAGAAAGCTAATCCTTTTAGATAATTGATTTTCACAGTTTACTAGAGTGAACAGCAATACCTCGTTTAGTGCGGTTTCGATCAGTCCTGCTTCAGTATCCGGACTATTTTAAAAGAATCCAAATTTTATTTGATAAAATAAAAATAAATTCTAATATGTTTTTATCGATCATTTATGCAGTCATGCTTCATTTTGTGCGGTCTATTTTTATATGGTTTTAAAGTCTTCGAATAGTCCGGTTTCAAACATATTGACACTCGATTTGCCTACTCGATGCTAATTCTCACAGAATGATTGATTAAACAAAAACAAATCAAAATACCTCGTGTTAATGATTTTGACAGTTATCAAAAGCTTAAGCATCACGGACAAGTTTGTATTTTCTCAAAACCGTAAATATATATTAAATGTTTTAAACGTAGCGACAACTGTAAATAATCTATACCACACGATTAATATAGAATTAGTGATCGATATTCGCTCCACTAAAGCGACGTTTTACGGTAAACCACAACTCGGAAATACTCCACCATCAAATTGAACCAATCGCGAAGCTTAATTATATCACCCAATTATATTAATTCAAGGTCTCTGTGATCCAAATTGTAGCGTAACTTATTGACCAGACAGACTTTTTAAATATGAAATCAACTTAACCGTGTAATTTCACCGGTATATTCCTACATAATTTATAATTATCTAAGCCTCAACTACGAACGTGACTCGATTACATGAATATCCGTCCTATACAAACAAAAATCGAAGGAATTTGAACATCGATGTGCATTACATGTTTATGTAAATTCATTAATAGTTAATCTAGGTAGCATGCATGAGAAATTGCAAATACCGATTCACGTTAAGGGCGCCACAGGTTACATCATAAGTATGATGATAGAAAGCATTCTAATTTCGTTAGATACGATCAAGAACCAAGACCACTTCGCTCGTTCCATTCACGTAACGCCAGATTGTTACAAAGTCTTCGCCCATCGTCTAATGAGATATTGTTATAATAGAGGCCGAACCCCATTATCAAATTTGTTGCTTCAACAATTTCCGGTTACGTGCACAACAATAGCGTATTTTATTCTCCACTGGAGATATTCGAATATATTAATTAATCCGCTGTTAAAACATAAGACAAGAAACGATCCACATCTTTCTAATTGGAAAACGATCCACACCCTTCCAACATTTAATTTTAATAAATTTGCTTTAGATTTGCAATCAATATCCATGATTTAATATATTTTATTGAAAATATTTTAAATTTTCGATAACTTTACATGCACAAACGTTGATAATTTTGCCATATTAATTAAATAGCAAAAGTGCTTAATTACATAAAACAAAATGCATATTGAGTAATCATTTTCAAAATGCAGCGTTGCCTTTCGAATTATTACTACAAATCAGGTAAAATTCGTACCTAGTATATTTTAAACATAGATGGCGTTACTGAAATTTTCCCCACTCCTCGTTATCTTTGGCGCGGTTTTGCAAGAAAACGGTTCTCTGTTACCGCAAACGTCCATCGCTGCACATACAATTTGTTATTGTTACGTATAAATCCGTGAATTTTCGATATTTCGGTAAGTTTATCTTATACAACATATTATATCATAAGCCTGAAGAGATTGTGCATCGCGAATTTTCCCAAAACGATCACCCTACAGAGATAATCCCACTTCCGGTGCTGCTTAATTATGGAGTAGGCCATCAAAAAATGACCGTTAAAAACCGGCCGCCTATTGCACAATTTTATCATGATTAACCGTTATTAAATGCGTTCCATAATCGGAATACGTTGAATTTAATCTCGCTGCGTGAAAAATGTCGGCCTTTGAAAATTGTAAAAGTAAACATGTGACTTGCGCAAAACTGAATTATATGAAATTACAAAATTTGTTGAGTTTTTATGGGAATTGCAAATGAATTATTATATTTTTCTCGCATAAGGACACTTGATATCAATATTGTAATATTATTTTATAAAAAAAAATATTAAAAAAAATTAGATAATTGTAAATTAAATAAGATTCGTTTTTGATCATTTTCATATTAGACCACAAATACTTTTTATTAATGCTATTTCAATTACCAAAGTTGAATTAATTTAAGATACAGATTTCTAAATATGTTTTACTGGTTATTTTTCTTTACAATTAAGTTTTTTTTTATTACAAAACTAAAAGGAAAGTAATTAACTACATTGTCTTCAGTTATGTGACAGTACACATTTCAAATGAAGCTATTGGTAAATTAGCAATTAAAACTAATTAAATTAGAGTGTTTTTATTGTGTTTATAGGCTTAACGTGTTCCAATTAGATTTACCTTCAGTTATATTTAGAGAAGATTCGTCATTATTATTGAAAAGAATAATTATTTCTGTTTTCAAAATACTTAATAACTTCATTAAATTAGTCAATTCAGATCTTTAAATATTATATGTAAAGGCTTGTATTGATCCAATTGGAATAAACAATGCAAATTATGTAATATTTGTTAAGTTTATTTCTTTATTTGTACGCATTTGCCAATATCATCACTTTTCTAATTATCTAGAACTAATAAGATCATAAAAAAATGCAAGGCTATTGTAACTCAAGAATAATAATCAAGTGGGTCTTCGCCCCCGTAAAATTCCATATTGTTTCTAATGATTCAATTCAATTATTTTTCTCGTTGCTAAGCTTATTTGATATTCTTGTAATAAAAGTCACGCACAGTTTAGCTCGTGAAGCAATTAAACAAATTTTTGGGTATAAAAATAACAATTATAACGATCTCGTGTCCCATTTACAATCAATTCGAGCATAACGAATGAATAAACATGAAACGGGTGCCGAGTTGAACGTCCTTACAGACGAAAAAATCAATTACCATTACGGCACCAGCTAATAAATAACTGATGATCCTTTTTGTATTTGATTGCACGATTACGAATGAATTGTTAACAGCAAGAGGGAAGCTTTTATTGCGATGGTTGTAAATCCCGGTGTTTAAGTTTGGGTGTACCTGCAAAGAGGTAGCAACATATTGTGTGTTGAGCAAACTTGGGAAGGTCACCTCATTTCTATTTTAAAGGAGCGCGTACTTTCCTTCAATGATTCATTAATAAATTCGCTTGCAGAAAATGTTCCGACCACAGAGTGCCACGACTCGCCAAGAGAACGAGATGGTGAACAGGAGTATCCGCGAGTTGCAAGCAAACGGTGATTCATTGTTATTGCAATTTATAGAGAGGAAAGTTTTTAATTTTAATTTAATTTTCCGTATACAGGATCCAACGAAGATCCTATTGCGCGTTTGAGACTGGTCTGTCTTTCTCGTGGAGCCACAGGAATCCTGGGTTTAGGTCGTATGTTCCGTCGTTTAGATGATGACGGTAACAAACAGCTTAATCTTGATGAATTCATGGTTGGATTGAGGGAGTCCGGGCTGGAGATCGGCGAGTTCGAAGCCAAAGAGCTCTTCTCCAAGTTCGATACCGACAACAGCGGCGGCATCAACATGAACGAATTTCTTGTGCGCATTCGAGTGAGTAGAAAACTTATCGATCGTAGTTTATAGTTTGTGTACATTATTTAGTTATCGATCGAGAAACCTAATAAACAAAATGTACTTTAGCCACCCATGTCAGAGTCGAGGGTAAAGGTCATCAATGAGGCCTTCAAGAAACTGGACAGAACAGGAGACGGTGAAATTTCCGTGGATGATCTGAAGTCCGTTTACAACGTTAAGGCTAATCCTCGTTACATTTCTGGAGAGGAATCCGAGGAGTCCATCATGAAGAAGTTTTTGAATAACTTCGAGCAGGATGGCATCAAGGACGGAATTGTAATTGCGCGACACAAACAAAGAGTTTTTTATTTATTAATTTTCTAATATTGCAGGTGACCAAGGAGGAGTTTATGAATTACTATGCGGCAATTAGCGCTTCTATTGATAACGACTGCTATTTCGACTTGATGATGAGGCAGGCTTTCAAACTATAAGTATCTACCAAAACGCTTAGCAGGATGTCCTTCCGTTATTAAGGACATACAAACTAACAACCACATTTGCCTTGTTGTTTCTAAGCACTAATATTATGTACTCTACCAAATAGTAACTTATTTAAAACTGTGTTTATGTGTATTCCTCACTAAGAAATATACTTTTTATAAAATATGAATACTGCTTTATTTTATTCCAAGCCTTCTCCAAATTTGAACCTGTGATCATGATAGTATTCAATTTATTTGCAATATAATCCTTATTACAAACTACAACAATAACTTGTTTATATAATTACACACTTTGCTTTTAAAATAATCACAATTAACTCAAAGTTGGGCCCTCATACATTGGTAATGCAGGGTCCTCAAAGTTAACATCAAGCAATATTAGTAAATAGAAGAACTCCCTTTATACATTTTTGCAGTAATATTAACATTGACGTTCAAGAATAAGCCTACCATGCATCATTACATATCACCATTTAATCATAAAAATAGTCTCTTTTTGAAATCCTTAAAATAGTACAGACTTAGACTGGCGTAATTGTATCAGTTATGCTATACCACAGGAGGAACTCCAAGAAGAAAGATTAATATTTACATAAGCAATAATAAAAAGGAAATTGTCTATTTTGAAAATGTTAAAGAGCAAGTGCGGTACTGATTTAAAAGCAAAGGTTCTGATCCAATACGAATTTTTATTATAATAAACACACAATTAATGGTAATTTTCATATTCCAAATTCGTAGTTAAAGTGATTTGAACGATTTACTTAGGGAAATCCTTGAATGTATTTTTATTGTAATAACTCAGTTTTTAGAACCTTTCACATGGATTGATGTGTTTTAAATGTTAGTTTTGAAAGATGAAGAATTACCATATAAACTGACCAAAGCACGTTTAGGTATTTATTCAAATATGTTCTTCCTGTTACGTAACACATGGATAACAAGACACTCGTTTTCTGATTATTCTGAAAGACTAAATAGGTATTGTGTAAGTATAATAAAAGATTGTTGTATTTTGTTATTTTTATTGTAAATGATGTACATTATTAAAACATCTTAATGTTTTGAGGCCAATCGCTTGTCCCTTTCTTCAGCAATGCTGAGCTTAACACCCTTTCCACGTGGGAGCGACACGAAGGCCTTAGATCCCTTACCAATGACAAATACGTTGTTTAACCTGAAGCAAAAAAACAATAAATTAGTAATGTTCAAAAAATTCGTAACAAATAAAAAAAACCCTGCATGAAATCAATGTAAATTGCTCAAAATATACTAAAAACCATTAAGATCAGTAGTACATAATAGATATTTCGCAATAAATTACTATTGGTCAAGTTTGACTAAAATCTACACTGGACATAAATCATAGCTTCGAAATGACCATTTATAAATAATCCATCATTTCCATTTTCAATTTGAAATCCATGACATTTTTTTTACCGAAAATAGAACTATCAGGATTTGCGAGAGAATAGTAAATACAAACCTAGTGGCAAAAGTGTGTCCTTGAGAATCCTTAACGTGAACAATGTCGAAGGATCCTGGGTGACGTTCCCTGTTTACGATGGTACCAACGCGACCCAAATTGCGGCCTCCGGTGATCATGGAGAGATTTCCAGAATCAAACTTAATGAAGTCCAAGATCTTGGAGGTGGCGATTTCCAGTTGGATGGTATCGTTGACCTTGATGTTGGGGTCTGGGTAACGGATGGTACGACCGTCGTGTGTCACCAAGAATGGAACACCCTTGGGTCCAGTTTGCACCCTCTTGACTTTGCAGAGCTTGTACTGAAATTCAAAAAAAGATAATGTTAATTCACATTCCCACTTACAATAAGAATATAAATACTAGCGTTGATATAAAATCAGATGAGTAAGAACGCTTTCATCTTTAATCAAATATTTTATAGGGAGTTTCTTTAGAAGAACCTCAACCATGCCTTTAATATTTTCATCACCAATTAATGAAAATTGTTCATATTTAAAGTTGAATGTACTTTGCTTAAGTAATACTAAAAACTAAATTATTAGTGTTGAAAATACTTTGCAAATAATTATTATTGGTCAAGATTGACTAAAATCTACACTAGACATAAATTATAGCTTCGAAATGACCTTGCAAGCAATGGTTACATTCAAATATATTAATGAATTATATATATAATAACAATGAATTGAAATTTATGATCTAACAACAAGTTAGCAATGCAGTATTGAATAAAGCATATATCTTATGTGTTTCATAATATATACAAATATAAGTATTTAAAACATTACCTTAGCTTCCTCAGAAGTGATTCTATGGATGGTGTAACGTCCCTTAACATCATAGATAAGACGGAAGAATTCTCCAGTCTTCTCAATAGTGATAACATCTAAACAAATTAGAAAAATATTAATAACTTCGAATATGAAGATTTGCTATATTTTAAATACTTGAATTTTAGAAGAATTCATAAATTGAAATGACTTATGTTCTTGAGTCAAGTAATAAAAAAGTACTTACCCATAAACCCAGCTGGGTAGTTGGGGTCAGTCCTAACTTTTCCGTCAACTTTAATCAATCTTTGCATAACAATTTTGGTTACTTCAGAGTTGGTCAAGGCATACTTCAAACGGTTACGTAGGAAGATAACCAAGGGAAGAGATTCCCTAAGTTTGTGTGGTCCAGTGGATGGACGTGGTGCAAAAACACCACCCAATTTGTCAAGCATCCATGCTTTTGGGGCGTTTAAACGCTTCAAATGCTTCTTAGGGCCTCGAGCCTAAAATTTAGGAAAAACATATTTTAAGGTTAACTCACATTCACATGTATGTAAACAAAAGTATGGTTAGCACATAATAAACTATTCTGCAAATTGTACCGAAAATCTACAAAATAGTATATTGAAGAGTACAGACCATTACGAAGATGTACTATGTTGTTGTATTAAACGTTGTTTTGAACACTTAGAAACTTGTCACTTTTTACACTATGTTTTTTTGAGTAAAAATGGTATTTATATATAAAAATTATAGTTGGATAATAGTCTGGCGATGTTAAGAAATGAATTCCGATGTAAAAATGTTCAAAACACGTATTATTTACGGTGATGTTTATGGATTTTCGGAGAGAGCGAAAGCTTGACTTACCATCTTGAATTTTTAACCGGAAGAGAGAATGTGAACGACAGCAACTGAGGTTGTCGACTCGGATCCCTACTTTACCGGCCCGACTTTCGCGCCAAACCGCTACGAATTCAAATTTCCATTTCGTCCATACATATGCAATAAGAAACATTGCGATAATTAACGCATTCGTTATATGCGAAATTAGCGAAATGCCGAGAATTCCGAAAATTTGTGAAATTCCGCGCGTTCTGTTGGAAATAGCTTGTAATATGTAATTGGAACTACTCCAGATTTTTAAATATTTATAAATAACTTATGCGAGGTTTTAATCTCCACTTCTAATCATGTTTTCGTCATAGTAATATGTGTGTGCTTTTATTCGAAGATAATAAGTTGTTGTGGGATAATGATGGAATCTTGGACAGATGAGAAAATAAACGAACAGAATTATGAAAATAATTTTTCAAACATCGTCGTGACTCACGACCTGGAGGATTGCTTGATCGACGAAAGCTTCGATATGTGCTTCAATAAAGTGTACGAGCAATTACCAGTCATAAATTACACCAAATATTCAGATGAGAAAGAGAAACCCGAAAATTCAACGTACATCGGAAAATTACAGCAGCAGGATGGCAACGCGGGGTAATTATTGGGCTTCATTCAAACATGGTCCTCTTGCGCGAAGCGACCTTCTTGCCAAATTTAGCAATATTTCAGTCAGCTGTTGACAAACGGGTTCGCTTCTTGGATGTTGTCTGCTACATGCTATACAAATAAGATGCATCAAATCAAGAAGCTTTCCCGAAAAATATTCCCTTCAATTCTGATTTATTACCTAAATCATTCATCAATTTCAAGCTATTTCAATTGAAATTGATGCATTCCATCCACTATGACCTCATTGTTCCAAAATACACTTCATTTACAAGTTGTATTGAATTACATTTACTTTCTTCTAGGCGCGAAAAATGTTTCCAATACATACTATTATAGATGACGTATATTTCAACATTACTAATTGCAGTTTTTTTTATTCATTATATCACACATAACCTAACATCCTGTTGTATTATGTTTAATTATTATTAATTAAACTAATATTGCTTTATAAGTCTGTATTTTGATTAGCAAGAAAAGATATCATTAGCAATTCCACATCAAATGCACCAAAAGTAATTAAATAAAATAAATAAGGAAAAAACTAAACTAGAACAAAATTTAATCTTCACATAATTGCAATTTCTAATATAAACAATATTGTTTGTTTCATGCAGATATATCCATCATACAATATCACCGAATGAGATATACATGCATATCAACCCTGGGGAGTCGGATGAAATGCCTGAGGAGCCTTCGCATGCAACAATAACAATACACAGCACAGATCCAGATACAAAAGTGACCACAGTGAACAGGTTCCATTGTGAATATGATGGGTGTTTGCGGACATATAGCACAGTTGGCAACCTCAGGACACACATGAAAACCCATAAAGGTTAATTTTCTTTATGCACTTCATTGTAATTCACTAACATAGGTAAATTACAAAACTATAATATTAGGATATTATTTAAAAATAACCACAAACTCTTAAAGAAAAAACTATGTTTTAGGGTGTTTATACTTAAATTACTATATCTTGTTGTTTTGTTTTAGGTGAATACAGGTTTAAATGTTCAGAACCGAGCTGTGGCAAGGCTTTCCTAACATCATACAGCTTAAAGATCCATGTCAGAGTGCACACCAAAGTGAAACCCTTTGAGTGCACACATTCAGGATGTGAGAAGGCATTTAACACATTGTACAGACTCAGAGCTCACGAGAGGCTGCACAATGGGAAAACTTTCAATTGTGAGACAGATGGATGCATGAAATTCTTCACCACACTTAGTGATCTCAAAAAGCATATCCGTACACACACCAGGGAAAGGCCATACAAGTGAGTGGTATTAATATAATGTAATAATACCTTTGAGGTATTGCCAGAAATGTGTTTCAAAATTTATAGTTATATCTGGCAAAGAAACAAATAACATGATTATTATATTTTAGGTGTAATGAAGATGGATGTGGGAAAGCTTTCACAGCCAGCCATCATCTAAAGACGCATTTGCGGACGCACAGCGGAGAAAGGCCGTACGCCTGTGCCGAATCCGACTGCACAAGGGCATTTTCCACATCGCACAGTCTGAAAACTCATGTAAAATCACATTTGAAAGTTCAGAGTGGAGAGAAACCGTATTCATGCATTGAAACAGATTGCACGAAAGCTTATACTTCTTCGAACGGCTTGAAAACGCATGTTAAGAGCCACCAAAAGGATGGTAAAGATTCCTCGAATGCTGTTAAGATCGAAGTTATTGAACATGGTGTTACAGATCATATAAGTCATGAGTTAACTTGGGGTCACGATAGCAATGGTAAATATATCTGTTTTTATGCGTGCGAGCAATTAATGTAATAATTGGTGTTTTTTAGAATATCCTGATGATTTTACTGGGAAAAATATGTACATAACAAATGGAAATTTGGAGAACAATGTTTATTACGATAATACGCAGTTGAATAATAATTATCTCCCCATAAATATTGATCCGCAATATGAACAAGTTAAGAGCGAAGTCGTAATACAGAATGACCTTTCGACTTGTTTCGAGACTGCGAATGGATTGAAGAATTACGCCACAATTAGTACGGCCGAACCTGTGGCTACACAATTATCGTATAACATTGGAACGGAGAGTATCGAGGATGGAAAAGAAGGCGAAACCTTGAACAACACGGAAATGGAATTAGAAGAGAATTCGATAATAACGGAAATACAGAACGCCGGCATCGATTTGTACGATGCGAATCGATCTAGCGTGAACAACTTCGACGTCGATCTCTTCAACAGTCCCACCTTCGACGGAGAGAAGAGCCCCAACTTCAAGATCTTGAGCGTGGAAAATGTGAAGAGCGCGAAAGATCCAAGCCTGGATGAACTCGAGAAGCAAATCTACATGCCGGAGGCGCTGGAGATGTCTCTGGTGTGTGAAGAGGAGACTCCTTCCACCTGGGTGGATGCCATGAACTTGCTGAACACCGATCCCGTAAATATCTATGAACAACTAAACGAAAACCCCATCGCGCTTCCAACCGCTATGCAATCCTACATAAATCTAGACACGCCTCAAAGAAATACCAGCATCGAATTAAAAACGCCTAACAGTGACGCAAACCTCCTAAAGAACTTAACCGCCGACGCTGACATTTGCAAGTGCGTTGACTGCAAATGCGACCCTTACAATAACTGCCACGGATGCAACCAAAGCGCTGCTGACATTAACGAGAGCAAATCCTCCTCCTGCTGCAGTGGTGACAATCAAAAATCCAGTTGTTGCAGTTCGGATAAGCCTTCCACCTCCAAAGTGAATAACCAAAAATCCAGTTGTTGCGACAGCCAGAAACCTAGTTCGAGCACGGGCTGTTGCGGTGCAGGAAACCAAAGATCTAACTGTTGCAGTACTCCTGCTGCTGCTACTACCATCGCCAATACCACACCTCAACCATGCATTGACCAAAGCGATATTGAAAATTACCATTCGGATTCGTGCAACAAGAAAGGCGACGACTGCTGCGTTGTCGTGTGTTTGAAGTCTTTAGAACAGATTAAAGATATGTTAACAAAAGCCAAAAGCTGTGGCAGCTTTCAAGCTCTCACCTTGGGATGCGTGAAAAGCGACCTGTGTGCAATAAAAAAATAACCCTAGAAGACGATCATAACTTACGTAGCTGCAAAGTGCCTTACAAATTAATCGTATTATTATTATTTTGAAGTATAACTATGTTTTTATCTAAATCGCCGTTTACGACCAACGTTAAATTACTTTAAACTGTCGTCGAACGAGAGCTTTTATTATTATTTTATTATTATTCACAAAGTGAACTAACTAATTTAGGGTAGGATTAGTGCAATAGCGATGTGTTGTCAGTGTCAAACAAAAGATTAAAACAGTATTTCATTAGTAATATCGTCGTCGGTGCTACTTATGTTACGTAAAAATGCAGTGTGATATTTTATTTAAAGCTTATAGTTTATATATACATATACAACTTATGTAAAAAAATATATATTTAGTAGATGTATATTTAAAAGAAGCCAGATTGTTATTTTTGTACAGTTTATAGGGATGGAAACCAATTATATCATATATATATATACAATGTGTGATAGCTACAAGAGAGAAAAAAAAAACAATTAAACGAGGCCTTCGCGCTTTATCATCAAAGCAACTAATATTGTTACTTAATGTTACATTTTATTCATAGATATGTACTAGTCATACGGATATCATATCATTATTATCTTTATGTGGACAATAGAAAACGATTTTATAATGTTGTTATATAAATAAACTATACATACAAACATTATTTACTTATTATTTTCTTATTTTATTTAAACTTGTACAATTAATTACAATTTATATTATTGCAAATCAATATTTTAAACAATCATCTTCGTATACCTAAATAAATATTATCGATTTTTATTTATTATGTAAGCCAGGGATCGGCAACATTTGCACCAAGCAATTTTAAAATGCTTACGGGCACCAAATGACCAGCGGTTAAATATTCACGTATGTAAATTTAAAGTTTGTGTATTTGGTTGCATACGATAAAACGTCTTATAAGACTAAGTACTTATCTTTCAAAAAATTGATTAGATTTGTATTCATATTCCAGGCACTTTCAGTAGAAAGAAGGATTTTTTTACTAAGAAGAAAATGTAAAAAAAAATATATTTATTAGGAATACTGTTTATATTTATATTTTGAAATCAATCTTTAGCATAGGATCTGTACTCCCATCAAATTTACTGTCTTTAGATTTTTTAAAATAATTGTTGATCAGCAAAAAATTAAAGAATGTACGCACATATATTGTTTTCTTTCAATTTTTTTGTTATGTAATTTACCTGATTTCGCGTGTCTGATGAGTAGCACACATGATACAAAAATAATTGTATCATGAGTAGCACGTGTAGTGCATGTTTACAATTACAATAAATTTATATAGATATTAGTGCTTAATTATATAACAGATGAGTGTGTTTGTACACGCGTGGGAATAACTCACTGAAAATCTTTGGAAAACATTGATGATTTATGATTTCCATGAAACATTTAAAATTAATTATGCAATTAGTTTTAATAATTTTAATTTGTTTAATGTAAACGAGTTTACTTACAATTAGCAATTCTGTTCGATCGGATTTGATTTTTCAATATGATTTATTTTGAATCTCCGCAAAGTTATATTAATTCCATCAAATTAATAAATATATAAGAAAACTAAAATTTTGTTCACATGTTTATTAATTAATATTATGAAACGATTATGCAGAATTAAAAGTCATTTCTTATGTGATATGTAAGAAGAATTACTGATATTGAGTATACAAATAAATAAAGCGAGATATTAACTTTTATTAAGTAGACTCAGTTATATTAAAAGATTAGCAATAGAAGACTTATTATAAAATATGTAATAAAAATGTTTTCAGATTTTGATTTAATTATTTTTCTTTAATTATTTTTGTAAAGAGTACCTAAATATCAGTTAACTTTTGAAATTTGAATATTGTTCGTGGTTATCAAATAATTAGATGAAAAGTTAAGATGCATTTGATAAGTTTATTATTATAACTAAAATAATATATTGTAATTGTAAAATAATAGTTAGTGATCTGTTGTAATTGCTTGGGTGGTCTTTATCATTTCATAGAAATGATCTTAAGCAGCGGCAGACATACGTCTGTTGTAAGGAACAACTTTCATTGGTAAACCGACGGTGGATTGAAGAACGAAGCTCTTCGAGTCGTAAATGATGGGAACTGGTGTCTCTTCGTTGGCTTCCACGTAAAAGTTGCTCAGAATATGAGCTATTCCCAATTTAGAACCGATCAAGCCAAATCGCTCTCCTGCAAATAACATTTACAATTAAACATTGAAGAACTTTAAGGCAATAATAATAATTTACCAATGCAATTGTGAGGTCCTTCGCCGAATGGAATGTAGGCGTATTGCGGTCTGCTGTTCGTATTTTCCGAAGAGAATCTCTCGGGATCATATTTGTCGGGATTCGGGAAGTAAACGGGATCGTAATGCAAACCGAACATCGGAATGTAAATCGGCGTTCCTTTCTCGATAAACAGATCAGAATTCGGCATCTTATAATCCTTAACGCATCTACGATCTAGGAAAGGTAATACTGGATATTTCCTTAAAGTTTCTGAAACGCACAAGATTTAATTGAAGTTTTAGTAGATAAATTTAGTATTTAGTAATTACCTTTGATGCATTTATCTAATAATTCCATGTGCTTAAGGGCTTCGTAAGTGAAACCGTTGTACTCGTCTAAAGCTTTATTAATTTCTCTTCTGAGCTTCAACTGAAGCTCTTGGTTTAGACACATTTCGTATAAAGTGAACGAAATTGTGGAACTTGTCGTTTCGAAACCTGCTGCGAAGAATTGCATCGGTTGACCCACTATAACGTCGTCGTCCAATTTTGTCCCTTGGATTGAGTCCAGCTTTTTCATTTCGATAATCATATCTATTAGATCGTTGCGTTTGATTCCACTCTTTTCCCTCATTTTGATTGTCTCCAAGAACGTTTTGGTGCAGAACGTATAGATGGACGGATCGAAGAATGTGAACTTCAGAAACTTTACTAATCCTGGAGCGAAAAAGTACGAAGTAGCTCTGAACGCGTTGATCATATTATAGTTGAACATTTTTCTTCCCACATCACGGAATGGAGATTCCTCGTGTTGGAAGCATTGGCCTTGAAGACCGAAAGCGCAAGAAGTAACCACATCCGTTGTGAATTTGGCGCAAACCTCTTTCATATCGACAGTTTGCGATGTACGTTTCTGCAAATACTCCTTCAGATCTGCAGCAGCATCGTTCATCAGTGGAATCATGGTCTTTATTTTGCCCGAAGTGAAAATTGGACTCAGCTTGCTTCGCAGCGTTTTCCAGAAAGGGTTCTTCGAAAAGAACAGCGTCTTCGATGCTATCGGATCGGCGTCTGTATCTGAAGTTATTGTCCTGTCACTGAAGTAATTGAAATCCTTAACCAGAATGTTCTTTATCACCTCCGGACTTCTTACGATCAAATGCGGAGTGCCGAAGACCCAAACACCAAAGTAGTCCGTCTTCATTTTGTTGTAAAGATCTGCGAGGAAATGACCGATCGTTGTTTGCTGGAGCGCGACCTCCTGAAAGTTCCCGAAGAACAGATGCGGTTCTACGTAAGGTATATTTCGTTTCTTCCAAAAGTCAAAATTCCACGTGAAATAGTGGTAAGCGACGACCAAAAAGGTCGTCGCAAATATCAGAATATCGATGTAAATGCTCCCCACAATCGCCATCTAAAACAGCAAATAAACAATTTAATAAGATATACAAATCTCTCTCATTTTGAGTAATCTTACTTTTTTCGCAACGAGATCACAAGAGAATACTGAACACTCTTCGCATTGAAATCTAGCTTTTAAAGGAATGGATAATTATATCGTCGTTAGTCGCATGTCAACATGCAAACACGTATTCGTCGGATTTCTCAATAAAAACAATGAATCGTGGAAAAAAATAGAATTGCAAGTTCGTATCTGGAAATTACCGAAAATTTTATAATTATTTATAATTAATCTAGACAATCCAATAAAAAAAATATGTAATAATTAATAAGCAACTTATTAACTGCATGCTCCATAGAATGCACTTGACCAGAATCTACATTCAGGTTAAATAATTAGGAGAGATTATTTATTAGCACGATGTCAAAACAGTTTTAAATGCTGATAGTCTAGAAAAAAAAAACATAAAAGTGGTCTAAGACATATATTTTTTATTATGAGATTTTTAAAGGTTTGAGTTTGAACAAAATATTTTTTATATTAGATAATAATATTGATGAAGTAAAAAGTTCTGAGCGTTTTGTCCCATACATCGAGCTTCTTCTTGAGACCAGCCTTTTGCAAATGGTTCCAAACGGGTTTCTGGCTAATCTTCAGTTCCTGGAAAATGGAATAAGTGCTCCCAAACCTGTCCAACTCGACGATTTCCATGATTTTATCAATATTTTTTATGATTGGCCGCCTGCTCCGCTTTTACCCTTGGTCGTAGCGTTGTGTCAAATTTAAGTCGCAGTATAGAATGACATGATACAAAAGGAAAGCTATCTAAGGAAAATATATCAAAACTTTTTACTTTACCCAATATATTTACTCTTGTAAATTAAACACTTTTTATGAATATGAAAGTTTGTGAATCGCTTATAACAATAATAACGAATTCTATTAGAAATACATTCATTTTCTATTATTTTTATCATTTTTGATTTTCTTCATCTTCTTCGAAAATGGGATTTTCAATTTTAGTATTATCTTAAGTGATTTAAAATATTCCTGATAAATTAGCGGGTTGAAGGGTAGTAAATCCATAGCATATTTATAGAAGGTGATATTTTTGTATATTTTTAGCATTCCCCTTTTGGGTGAAATATATAAAATATGGTATTTTGTATCATCACATAAAGAAGTTCTGTACAACATCTAATATGGACTTATTTATTAAAACTTCATTCATTGAATTTTAAACCAAGAGACAAATAATCCACTTTCAAAATAAAAATTGTCGAATTTTGTTTAATGACGCAATAACCAACTTAATTCAATTTTGCCTCAGATTACGGCAATGTAAAGAAATGCAATGCGAAATAACTGATTGCTTTTTCTTTTTTTGAGTGTGTGTGGCCTATTTTTCATAATTACCGGCAAATATAAAACTATTGATTTCAAACTTAATTGGTTTTATAATATTTTATATAAGAAAATATTTGGGCACCTCTAAATCAATTCTCTTGAATGGATAGCAGCCTCCGTTTCTTATATTCCAACATAAATTCCTTTCACCCTAAATCCCACCTTATTAAATCCTATATAATTAAAAATAACATTTCCTGTTCCCTGTTCCCCGGAACCATTGTTAACTCCAGTCTTCTCTCCTTCATTTACCAAAATCCGGATCCTTCTCCAGAAATCATCTCCGAATTCCTAACCTTATGTCCTCCACGGTTATTCAGAACTCCCCCAAAATCAAAATAACACCTTACAACTACTCCCTTCCACCCTTCATCCTTCGATTAGTAAACTACAACTCTATATATATATATTTTTTCCCTTATTCTTCTGTTGTTCATTGTATATTATTATTATAATACTGATATTATTTCATAATAAAGTTTATGTTCCCGGGGGGAAAGACCTCGGTCGATAGCCCTTTGGCCAGCCTATTGATATATATTTTTATTATATTTTAACATTTATTTATGTATAAATTGTACTTTTCTTTTCTTCTTCTTATGTATTAATGTTTGGAAAATAAATTATTATTTAAAACTGAAATAAATACAATTTATTGCAATTAGAAAGTCATTAGGATTTATACATTGGTATGTAATTACTATTAAAGTGTGTACATTTAAATAACATTACTTAGTATGTAAATATGAATCAATGAACTAAATGAAATTTCTATTAGGATAGGTTTCAGAAAATTACTAAGATATTTGTTTTAGCGAAATAAATTAAAATATTTTTAATGTCATTTAAGCACCTTTATAAATCTTTGGTTAGTACATGAACTTCCACTGAAAACCATCATCTTCAGCATTCAATAAAACACTAACATTTCATTCATTTACCCTTTTGAAACCTATTCATTGTTATCCATCTGGATAGCTTCATTTCTTGATTGTTATTTTATTTTTCTAGTACATCTCAAATTTAGCATAAATTAGTTCTTTCCAAAAACTATCAATGCTTTTAATTGCGCTTTAATGGTGTAGTTTTTCAGTCAATGACTATTCGGATGAATGTCGGTTGTATATTAATATCTGTGATGAATGATGGCACTATTACTGCAAGCACCGAGAGGGCTCACAAAGTGCATGGCTTAACCAGGATTCGAACCGTCGCCCACGAAATTGTGGGTGGGCGAAATTCAAATTCAAAAATAACTTTATTTACAAACATAATTATTGGCCCTTTTACAAATTTGCAAGGGTACAAGCATTTATCTTATTACAAATCTTTCAACATAATTGTTATGGGTTTGCATCGGTTTATATTTCTTACACTTTTAACAATGTAATAAAGATAATTGCTGAAGCACTTATTTACATTTGAAGTGTTTAGGATACTTAAGATTAAAAAAAATTAAAATATGGTTATATATACAACTATTTCTATATTAGAGGGAAGAAAAGCGTGGGAAAAACCCTTTATTTT